TGTTATTAACTCTACACTCAATGGAAGGTCATTTCTAAAGACTGTGGCAAGAAATGTAAGAGTACAGGGGTCAGCTGTATGTGTGTAGAGGGAATATACACACAAACTCATGTCTTTTATCCCCCCACACCCCATTTACATTGCACTTGACTTTTTTTTAGAAATGTCTATTATTACCTAGAATGTGTAGTATTTCTTTGTATAGATCATATCTGAAACAAATCCTTCATATGTCTCAGATAAGGAGGTGGGAGAAGAAGTGCGTAAATGGGAACCTAAATTAATTGTGTTTGTGAAGTTGTAACTGAAAGGAGAAATGGGGTCATCTGCTATCATTGTTATAAACCCAGCCAATTATTAGATATAGCTAAAGGTGACAGTGGTAGATTTAGAGGAAAGCCCACCTGGTACTTCATATCCAAAGCTGTGATAGCTCATAAGTAAGGCTTATACCAAGGATTTGCAGGGTAATAAAAATGCTTGCCTGTACATGGACCACATACTTTGGGTTCTTGCATGATACTTCTCCTCATTGTGTGTGGGCAGGTAGCTCTCTCCTAAGAAGGCACTTTGCAATTTAAGAGCAAAAGCTTGGATTAAAGATGTTTCACTGAAAAATATTTTCAGATTGCCATCTGCATGGCCTATGGTATTGCTGATGGTATGTCCTGAAGCAGCATCTTAGCCCATATGGGTGTTTCTAACTGAAGGAGGGGCGGCCACCCTGCCTGCTTGTGCTGGGTGGTTGCCAGCCCCCTTTATGTAGATACTCTGCCAGGCTGTGTGAAGGAACAGTGCAATTCCCTTAGCAGCAGTCATAAGAAAGATAAGAAGATAAAGGAAGTTGTGGCAGCAGGGCAATGACAGACAACAAATCCCACTGCACCGTGGTCGGCACAAACAGGTAACTTACAGTGCAAAAATTTCATCCAGGATGAATAAACTGGAGGAAAGAAACCCACACCCTCAGGGTGTCCTTCAGTGTGAATCATCTGCATCTCAAACCAGGAGTCAGATCTTCACCTCCTCCATACCCTTAACTAGCTTTCTCCATCATTAGTGCAAATTCTCCTCAGGCCTTTTCAACTCTTTGTTACCTAGGCTGTATTTTTGCATGGCTGGACACAAATAAACATTAAATGCTGTGTCCACCCAAGCACAAAAGGGAAGGCTGTTTACCAGTCAGTCTGGGACGGACCAGCACCCCAAACCCCAGGGCTTAGCCTGCCAGTGGGTCCCACCAGATCAGGGTGTTGGAGTTAGATGGAGGCGATGGCTCTGCCTCTGTGGTGGTCACTGAGCAGGAGTATAGATGAGGCCAGAGGGATCACTCTAGAGCAGTATCCAGAGCCCTGGGCTTTACTCTGGTAGCAGGACCAAAAGGCACATGGGCACCCTTGTTTGTGAGATTTCAGGCTGTTCATTTGTTCCCACATCAGAGGTGCCCAGGATTGAAACAAAAATCCAATTATGAGTCACACTTCAAACAGACTCCAGGATGTTGGGGCCAGGATCAGGGGCTGCTAGTTTCTTCTGACTGCCAACACTGTCTCCATTTCATGTGCAAACCCATTTAGGAGCAATGTTCAGAGAGATGATAACTAACCTTCCAAATTCATGAGGAGCAGAGGGCCACACCTGCCCACCCCAGCCAAGGCTCTGCACACTGGTTTCTACCACAGATGCCATTTCCCTGGCCTCCCTTGTATAGGTGCCTGCATGTCCTGGCCCAAAAGGGACAGTATTTCAACATGCACCTGTGACCAATTTGGGTTCCTGAGGGAATCATTGATGCTGAAGTGCCACAGTTCAG